GAGAGAGAGAGAGAGAGAGAGAGAGAAAGAGAGAGATCAGTCCTGCAGCAGCAATAACCCAGAAACGATCCCACGCGTTAGATCTATGCGCTACATCGGAACGTTAGATCCATGTGCTAGATGTGCGCCATAGACCTATGCAACAGATGTGCGAGTTGAATGCATGCGTTAGATCAAATCCAGCGTGACACACGATTCCGCGTGTTCCAGAATAGTGTATCGGACAGCGGGTTCCAGAAACGATTCTGCATGCCTGATATGCTACAAGTGGGGGAGTAAATAGCATGGCAACTGAATGAGAAAACCCTGGGTGAGGAAAACCACCATCTTACTGCTGAGCTAGACGCGGCTTTTAGGACTAGGAATTTTGGGAGGCTAGATTTTCGAAGAGGTCCCTACACGCAACACACCCTGCAGTACAAACAAAGCGCAGCTCTGAGGCAACTGCCCTATCTTGGCCAACGTCGCTACCAAGAACCACGTGACGCGAAACGCGAAAACCAAAACAAAAAACCTCGCCGAACTTCCAAAACAAAAAGGTCCCCCTGCCGAGCGACAAGCGCACAGGAACGTTTTTTTTTTGGTAGTGAACCGAAAAAAAACGCCGCTGCCTGCTCGTCGCCCGGCAGGGGGCGCCGCTGCTGCCGCTGCCGCCGCCGCCTCACCTTCCAGCCCTCGTCCTCGCCCCACTCGCTGCGGTGTGTCTCGGCGATGAACTCGGCGAGGCTGATGAGGCCGTCGCTGTCGGTGTCGACTTCACGCTGCACGTGCTCGCGCATGCGCGCCATCTCCTCCTGCCTCTCGTACATGTCGTCCTCCGGGTTGTCTGGGTCGTACAGCTTGTCCAGCTACACGCGTGTGTGGGAGAGGGTAGAGAGGGAACGGTGATGTTAGTTGAGAGTGAGGGAGAGCGGGAGAGGGGAAGGAGGAGAAGGTGGGCGGGGAAGGGGGAGAGGGAGAGAATGGTGACAGTAGTTGAGAGTAGAGAGAGAGGGGGAGAGTGAGATACAGATGGTGGGAAAAAGAGAGAGAGATAGGAGAGGGAGAGGGAGAGGGGTAGAGGGCGGGCGGAGAAGGGGGAGAGGGTGAGAGGTAGAAAATGGTGACAGTAGTTGAGAGAGAGGGAGAGAGAGACAGGGGTGCCACAGAGAATGAAAGAGAGAGGAGAAGAAGAGGCAGAGAGAGAGAGAGAGAGAGAGAGAGAGAGAGAG